GACATTGCGTATGCTGTAAGTGTTGCTAGTCAGTTTATGCATTGTCCAAGTGAAGATCATATGGATGCGGTTCTTAGAATTATTAAATATTTGAAGTCCGCATCAGGAAAAGGACTTATGTTCTCTAAAAATGGTCATCTGAATATCAGTGGCTATACAGATGCAGATTGGGCAGGGAATGTCACTGATAGACGATCAACATCAGGGTACTTCACATTTGTGGGAGGTAACTTGGTTACTTGGAGGAGCAAGAAACAGAATGTTGTTGCTTTGTCTAGTGCAGAAGCGGAATTCAGAGGAATGACCAAAGGAATTTGCGAACTTCTTTGGTTGAGACACTTCATTAAAGAAAAACTTGACAATAAAGAAATTCAGCTTCCGTTTGTCAAGTCCGAAGACCAGCTGGCCGATATTTTGACAAAAGCAGTTTCTAGCAGAGTATTCCACAACTCACTGATCAAGTTGGGCATTGGTGATATCTATGCACCAACTTGAGGGGGAGTGTTAGCAATATTGACATCTTGTGTGATTGTCACCTTGTGAAACACAAAGACATGAAACACAAGACAACCCTTGTCTCATGGCACTTGTCTCATTCCTTGTTTTAGGGAATACTTTTCTTGAGCAATGTAATCCTTGTCTTATGGAATGTTTCATGGAATGTCTTAGGGAATGTTTCATGGAATGTTTTAGGGTTATTACATGTATATATGTTTTGATGTGTAATAGAATGAACATATGTTGAAATCAGAAAATATGCATAGCTTCCAAAATTCTCTACACTCTCCATTATCTCTACTCAACCTTCAATATCTCTTCCTAATTTGACATATCAATGCATCAAAAATAAAAGAATCAAAAGCAATTATGAAACAGAGACTGAATTATGATCAACAAACAAGGAACAAGAAAAGCAATGAAACTAGAAAAAAGATTGGGGAGCAAATAAATGGAAAACTAAGCCAACCAGCAGCGATCCTGAAAATCATGGAAATCAAACATCAGAGACATCAGAGAGTAATTCAGTTGACAGCCACATAGGCCCCTCCTCAATCCAAACACGAAAATCTGAACATAATAACACACGCCTAGCCAATCGATGTGCCACTTGATTACAACGACGGGAAGCATATTGGCAAATCACAACAGGAAAAAGCTGTAGATAGGCTTGTGCTTCTGCTACTAAAGCACCATCGGAATCCAAACATAAGCATTCAAACATCTTGAATGGGATCAACAAGGGGGAGTAATTGTTTGATTCCCATTCCATAATTTACCTATCAAAGTTCCCCGATTCATGACTTCTCCCATTCCTAGTAAGTAAACGTTCCAGGAGATTAAAAATAAAAGGAAAGACTTATTTTAACATTTCTCTTAAAATTGTTGAGCGTTAGCGAGCAAAACATACACGCACAGTTCAAATAAAATCAATGTCAATTTAGTTCCATGCACAACAATTGTAAGTGCAAATAAAATGTGAGTGCATGCATATTTTGCTTGTTAAAGCTCAATAATTTTAAGAGAAATGTTATGATTAATCGTGCATGTAACATCTAATTATAATATCTAATCGTGCATGTAACATCTAATTATAATATCCCAACTCCGAAGTCTCTTATTTGCTTAAGTGGAGGCATAATATCGTGATTGTCATGGGAACAAGGAAGCGAAGGGTCATAACAATCTATAAAAACAGAACAAGGAAATAATGGTAACATGAGTAGCTCATCCATAGCATAGACAACCTCAGAAGATTTCATATTGAACTTCAAACTGTTTGACTGTCAAAATGTTTAAAATGTATGGAAACATTGAATATTTGTAATATTCAAGGAATAACACTAGCTTTTGTTGGAAACAACAATCAGCATAAAAAGAATATATGTATAACATTCGATGAATAAGCTATAATGTGTAGAGACAAAGCTTTTGTTGGAAACAACAATCAGTATCAAACTGGCTGTCCTTGAAGAATTCATAGACAAATCTATAATCTTTCAATGCGGGACAAGAGGAAATTGAACTTCAACAATACGAGCTTTAACAGGTTTAAGTAAACAATCCATGGCTGTCTTTGAAGGATTCATAGACAAAGGCCAGCAAACTGGCTGCATATGGCATTACATAGAAAGGAACTCTCAACAACTTCATCATCATCCGATAAAGTTTTCTTGCAAGAAAACCAAACGACAACGTGCCCCCCAGGGTTTAACATTACTTTATCTTGTTTGAGATGAAGAATTCTTCAACAACACAAGGAGAGCTTTTCCATGCTGTCAGATCAGATGAAGGCCGCCCCTCCAAACACAAATGAACTATCTGCAGGACAAGATAGCTCCGATCAAAGAGCTAATAGAAAGCATATAATAAGGATGTTAAGTTTATTGCTGCCGTTAAGTATCCCTTTAGTAAAAAACATGTGCCCCCTCCACTGCCATCAAGGGACCTTGTAAATTATCAGAAAGATTAAGATGGATGGTTCCGAGCAACGGTCTAGTGCAAAGAATATAAACAAAGGTGCCAACTTTCAAATATGAAAAAGCAAACTTACTTTTCTTTTTTGATTTCACTAAGGTCAATTGGCAAACCTCTCCACAATCACCTACAAGATCATGTGACGATGGTCAGTAATGAGTAATCCTGTAAGCTTCATAATACAAGGAACAGAGATTGTGAAAGAGTGGAGCAATACCTTGGAGAGATCTCAGCCCTATGTTTTCTGCTACAGCTTTCATTCTTTCCCGAATCTTCAACTTCAACTCATTAGAGCATGCATTTCTTGAGTTTGATGGAAGATGATAAGGTCATTCTACCATAAAAGAGCATGCAATGCGCTTTAGTTTTCTTCAATTGTAAATGTAAATAGAATGTAAAATGAAAGCAATCTATACAACAAAGAAAACAATTAATGAAATGGAACTGTAGTTCAAATAATTGCAACAAGCAAACCTTTCGGAAGTGAAAGGCACAGAAAAGGATCAACAGAATTTTACCTTCGTGTGTTTTCTCATACTTTTGTTCCTCATAGGATTTTGAAAAGCCAGTTCTAATAGCTATACAATGAGGCTTTTCATTTTCATGCATATCTCAGCTCAACAAGATACTCCTAAGTTCAAGACATTAAGAATTGGATCGTTAGATTCATCTTAGAATATGAACAAACTAATTTCTAACCAACAAGTATGTACAGGAAAATAGATATGAAAGAGACTAGTTGATACGTTAAAAACTTAAAAGGGAAAAAGTGAAAATAGATATGAAAGAGACTAGTTGATACGTTAAAAACTTAAAAGGGAAACAGTGAAGGGGACGACACTGAAAGATGCATATTCAATTATCAAATGTTATAATGAAGCATCAGATCTTCTGCAAAGGTTCAGTTGCTTGTTAGAAATAATCAATGGCATGGCAATTAGGTAGATTTATGTGAACCCAATTGTGCTTTGTTTTGAATTTGAACTATAAACATCTAGTTGTGTAATACTTTCTTAACCTACCTGAAAAGTTTGAATTGGAAATGGCATCGTATCAAATAGGAACACGAACAGGAACTTTGTCTCTAGTAACGAGAACAGACCTGGGCATCCATCATATATTTTTCTAATTCTTCAAGAGATAAGTAGTCCATGTTACGAGTAGTAGTGGCCCTTTCATCATGTAGAACCCCACACTTGTCTAAAGGCAATCTGGACACCGGCCTTCTGGTCTTCATTCCTCCCACTCTGGCAAATGAGTAAATCATATGAGAAGGCATGGATGTTATCTATTACAATAACGGGGAAGCAAAATAAATCAGGGAGAGTGCAGACCAATAGTTTGTTTATTGCCCAGTATCTCAAATTTGTGGTATGTATTATTCAGGAAGGCTGGAGTGAGTTGGCTAACATCAGAAGATAGGAGGGTTTTCGACAATTATAAGGGGTTGGGGATGGGGTGAGGTTCCTATCTTCACCTTGAGCATTGGTTTAATCACAATTCAGGGATGGAAGGCAGCTCAAGGATAATCTCTTTGTTAAAGCTCTTATAGTTGTATTTCTCTTAAGATCAGCTCTGTTCCTGTTCTGTGGTGGACGAGTACTTGTTCACTTCTGTGGTATTTTACTATCTTTTTCAATAAATAAAAATGTTTCTTCTAAATAAACAAGTCATTAATGAAGTGTGCAGCATTAATATTCATTGCATAAGGAACACTTAAATGACGTTTTCAAGTTATTACTTGTCATGAATGGACATGTGATGCTTGTTATGTTAGATTGAGATCCGTTTACCACATTGTCCAAATGCTGGTCTCTTGCTAGAGCTCCACCTGGAGAACATTTCCTGAACCCTGAACCCTGAACACAAGTTGTGATCAGCAATTGAGTAAATAGAAGGAGAGAATTTACTGAGCAAAATAATAATAGAGTTTTTGTGTGTTTTTCAGGAAAATGATTGTGATCAGAAAATAGCATGAGAGTGAGTTGTCAGAGTGTGCCTGTGGTGTGGTTGGTTATAAGCCAAAAATGAATACGTATTAAATAAATAAAAAACGTGCTGAACAACAGAGAGTGAGTTTCAGTTTTTGTATTGAATTAGAAGAAAAGCAGTTAAAGCGGTTATTTGAAGTACATACCTGACCTGAGTTTGTTTGTCTCTATGAGAGAGAGAGAGAAGTCATATCATCGTATGATGAGTTGGCCATTTATCTTGATGCCTGGAATGTGAGATATGCTTGCCCAATGATCTTGTCCCGTCTTATTCTCATACCTTTTCTTCAGGGCAGAGCAATTGGAGATGCTCAGATAAGAAAGAGATGGCGGCAGACCCTCTTCTGGCAGGAATTGAATACTGTCACACCCACCAATACCTAGAGTTTGAAGAGAAGTGAGGTGTTGAAGTGCCTCTTCTGGCAGGAATTGGAGACTCGGACAGTCATAAAGATATAGCTCTTGAAGAGAAGTGAGGTGTTGAAGTGCCTCTCCTGGAAGGAATTCCAGACTCTTACAACTATGAATATATAGACTTCGAAGAGAAGTAAGGTGTGCAAGTCCCTTTCCATCCAAAGATTTCAGAGTTGAAAGTTCCTCGATGCGGAGACTCTGAAGAGTGGTAGGGAGCAGCTGTTGCTTGAGCAACGTCTCCAAGATTTCATCACTTCCCCTGCCACAAATATTAAGGTATTTAAGGGAGACAAGTGCTTGCAAACCCCAGTTACAGTAGTCTCCCACTGATGAAGATGAAGCCCTCAGTCTCTCACAATTCTCAATGCTAAAATCTCGGAGGTTGGGAGGCAAACCCCCATCTTCTGCAATTGACTCCAGATTTGGAAGATCACTTATAGTCAAATATTGAAGGGCTGTGAGGGTGTGAATGCGTTCAGGTAATGACTTTAACTTATCGCATCTCCTGAGGTCCAATTGAGTCAGGTTGGGAGTGGGCAATCCTCCCTGCGGAAAACACACCAGATTTGGACACCCGACGATAACCAATTGATTGAGATGACTTAGATTCTCAACCGCTCCTTCTTCTTCAATCAAGCAAAGCGATTCCAGATTCTCACAATAGCCAATAATAAGTGTCGTCAATTTGGGAAAAATGCCCAAGGGGAAGGACCTCATTGAATCACAGCTATCCTGTATACTCAAAAGGTCGAGCGATGTTAATTTGGCCAACATCTCATGAGGTAGGAATTCTAATCTCCTACAGTTGTATATAGACAGTAATGTCAACGTAGTGGGTAGGCCATCTTCAGGGAACGACGACAGGGTTGGACAATTCCAGAGAGTCAAACTTTGAAGACGATTGATGTTGGGTAAGAATTGTATGTCATTAAAATGTCTAATGTCAAGTTGGGACAGGAGTTTTGTCTCTAGTAATGATAACAGACCTGTTTGGCATCCATCTTCTATTCTCAATTCTTGAAGAGAATTGTAGTTGAGATTGGTACTAGTACTAGTAGTAGCAGTGGCCCTTTGATCATGTAAAAACCCACACCAGTTCACACTAAGCTTCTTCAAGCAAGGTAGATCACAAGGCAAGCTTCCTCTCAGCTTTGGACACTTTTCTAGAATCAGCTTCTGGAGACGAGGAAAGTCTGGACCTCCACTCCCACTTGGTACCCATTCCTCCCACTCTGCCATCTCCTTAAACTCCAACATCTCCAACGATTGAAATGGCTGAAATGGCTGAAATGGCTGACCATACAACTCAGGACCTAACGTCCTAAGAAATTTCATCTTACATATGAAGAGCTCCTTAAGAGCAGGTAGCTGTCCAAGCGGTGGCAACTCGAAGCAATAATGACAGCCTTCGAGGCGCATAACTTTTATTTTATTGAAGGCAGAGTCTCCCAACCAGTTTGGGAAGCTGGTCCCGCCATAAAGTTGGATGGTCATTTTCTCCAAATTCATGCAAGGTTGGAGCTTGTCAAGTACATCTCTCACCTTTTCAGAATGATCGGCATCTTCGGAGTCCCATGCCAACTCTAACTCCTTCAGATCTTTCTTGTTCTTCAAATTAGCTTGCAAGGCATCCCTACCATCAACTACATTATTAAGCTTCAAAATTGAAAGTTTTCCTCCAAGATGGGACAACTCCCCCAATTCACCAATAGTCGACCCAGTAGATTTCCCCACAACAAAAGTAGTCAATGTTCTCAAACTTTTTAGTCTACCCATTTGCACTGGCATCTCTTGAATTGGTGTTCCACTAAAATCAAGATGCCTCAAGTTAATCAATTTCCTCATGTCTGTAGGCAATTCAATTAGAGAGAAACAATATGATAACAATAATGTTTGTAGACTGTAGAGAGTGCAAACTGTGGAAGGTAACCTCTTGATTGCAGTTTTAGAGAAATCCAAGTAGCGCAAATGAATGAGGTTACCAATAGAATTGGGTAACTTAAAAATATTACCATATTCTGACAACTTTAGCACCCGTAAACATAATAGAGATGGCACTAACTCATGTAAAACCCTTTTACTTACATATCTCTGATGCCATTCTCTACTTAGAGGTAGGAAGGTTCGCAAATGCTTAACCTCATATAATGGCTCAAATTTCGCAGCACAATCAAATTGCCCTATAGCATACGACAAATGCCGAACCCTTTTCAAAACTTCATGGGATTCGCCCCCTTCCCATCTCAAACAAGATTCCCTTGACACAGACATAGCTAAGTCATTGATGAGATCATGCATTGTGAACTTCTCATTTCTTGAGCTTTGAAAAAATGATCGTGACAATAAGTCATCAAAGTATTTCTTAGTGAGCTCTTCCATTCTTTTCTCACTCTCAGCTTGTGGAATTAAACTTTCTGCCACCCACAGTAGAACAATATCTTCCTTTTGGAATTCATAGCCCTTCGGAAAAATTGAGCAATAAGCAAAACACCATTTTAAATGAGTTGGGAGATAATGGTAACTCAATCTTAGAGCTGGAATTGTATTACATTTTTCAGGAGGCAACTCCCAAATATTGCTATTTAGTATGCTGTTCCATTCCTCATAATTTGTGTTGAAACGCAGGAGGCCTCCAAGTGTCTCTGCAGCTAATGGTAAACCGTTGCACTTAGAAGCAATTTTCTTACTAACTTCTTCTAGCTCTAGATGTGCACTTGAGTTTCCATTTTCGAAGGCATGTTTTGAAAGTAACAACCAGCAATCCTTATCAGACAACTGTTTCAAATAGTGAATTGGAACGGTGCGCATGAGAGATGCAACACTTTTGTTCCGTGTTGTCACAATGACCCTACTTCCCCATGCTCCGGATGCAAAAGGACGTTGTAGGAGACTCAAATCACCATAGTTCTCATTCCAAAGGTCATCCAATACAAATAAAAATTTCTTGTCCTTTATTTGTTGTCCTAGCTCAACTTGAAGAAAACTCAGGTCTTTATTATCGTAAGCTTTTGAACTGACTGACTCAAGTAGGGTCTTAGTTACCCTAGTAACATCAAAAGCTTCCGAAACATACGCCCAGGTTCTAAGATTAAAATGCTCTTTCACTTTGTCATCATTATAAAGGAGCTGAGCGAGGGTTGTCTTGCCAATGCCTCCCATTCCCACTATGGTGATGACGGAGACATCCTTGTCGCTTGCATCATCAGATAACAACAGTTTCATCAGCTTTTCTTTATCTCCATCCCTACCATACACAGAAGATTCATCCACCAAGGAAGTTGTTGGAGTTCTTTGAGCAACCTTTCCCCCAACAACACCTTCTCTCAGGCCAAGCACATCCTTTTGTTTTGCTAGGTGTTCTAATCTTTCAAGCAACTCTTGAATCCTACCATTCATGCCTTGATAATTATGATCAAGAAAAGTAGGGAGGAAGTTCCACACCTTATTTGTGACGGTTTGAAATTCAGCTTCCACCTTGCATCGCAAAACTTCAGCATTGATCTCATCGAGAAGGTCATCCGCATCAAAGACAGCATCTTGAAGCTTATCAAGCCACTCTTTCACGTAGCTGTTCAGGAATTGCTTCTCCTCCGCGTCATTAAGCACCGCATTAAGGCTCAACAACGTTATCTCCAGTTTCTTCACAAGCGACTCGTCCAGTTTCTTTCTCCGGAACAAGTCCACGAACTCCCTGGAACCAATCTTGTCAAACAGCACCTGCAAGGAGGCAGAGAGAATAGCCTCTCCAACCAAAGCCATGTTTCGATTCTTTTCAAAGAATTTGGACTTGAGTTAAGATTTGAAGCAAGTTTTGCAGCAAAGGATTTGGCTGTTGAGAAGTTAAGATTTATGTTGCTCTCAGTATCGTTGACTTGGAGTCTTAAACTATTGACTTGGAGTCTTCGAGTGAGAATATTATTGCAAAAGGACAAGCGCGTTTGTAACGTGGTGAACCCTCACGGTTAAACTCGTCATACAGCTGTCGTCCATTATTGTGTTAGAATATTTTTGGTAAATAAAGCTTTTATTTTTTACTGGTCAAAGTTTCAAGTTCTTCCTCACTATTTCTTTAGTGTCGGCGGACTTTTTGTGTTGGAAGATTTTATATTGGTAAATAAAGCTTTTATTTTTATACGGTCAAGTTTTTCCTTTTATTTATATTTTTTTTGTGTCGGTGGGCTTTATCAAAAGCGATTGTAGCAGGCTGGTCATTGTAAATTGGTAAAGGGTTATGTTAGTGAGATCAACTTGGGAGATCAATTTGGGTACCAACTCTCTAATAGAGGTGGAGTCCATCAATACAATGGATCCCACGCTCTATTAGAGAGTTGGTATCCTAAGTTGGTCTCCCAAATTGGTCTCCCTAGCATTTTTCATTGGTAAATTGGTATGAAACTAAGATTCGTTGTAGATGTCAGTAAAATTTTGATCAGTTAGTGAAATTGTTTTTGTTATGCATCTGTCCATTCAAGTGAAACTGTAGTCTACAGTTTGTTTATCAACTGATTTCTGAATTCATTACAGGTGAGTCTTCTTACCGACACTGGTGGTAACACCAAGGACGATTTGAGGCTTCCCACCGATGAAAACTTGCTCAGCCAGGTGAGGCCAAAAGAGACTGTTCTGATAATGTCTCAAGTGTTCACTTGCCCTGATGGGTTTGCAGAGTGTAAGGACCTCGTTGTGACAGTTATGGCATCCATGGGAGAAGAACAGATTTGTGCTCTCAAGGACATTGGCCCGAATACTTAAGTTTCGATTTCATGCCTCTTCTCTACTTGCTCTACTTCAGTAACATCTGCCCTCCATTTTAGCAGTAGCTGCAGTCTGCAAGTCATGTAATTGGAAGGCGAGGACATCATGAGCCCGCACGATCTTGGGCTTCTGACACAATTAGAGTATGCCTAATGTTGTGTTTGTTTCTTTATAAGACTAATTGATTTATTAATTTTTTTTGTTTTGGGTTTTGGGGTTGATGATAGTGGCGTTGGGAATCTGGGACTTGGTGGGCATGCGTCCTAATTTTGTATTGAGAGGCGAGCTAAAAACATTTTTCCGTTACATTACTCCATTATTTCTTTCTTCTTTTTTGATAAATGACATGAGAGGAGATACAGAACTAAGTGGGAGTATGAAAGGTTTCTCCTATTTTTTCGTGGTTTTTATTTTTAGGCACCAAACGTTTTCTTTTTGAAATATTAAAAAAAAAAACTAGACACCAATTGATGCCATATACAATGTGACATGTTCTTTGTTTCACATCACAGATCTTAGTTTCACATTACAGAATCTTAGGTGCTGGAAGTAAATGGATATAAAATGAGACGGTTCGTCATTTACTTTTCTTTGCCCTCACATGGGGACGGTTCGTCAATACCATTAATTAATTCAAATTGTGTAGGTGGGTTCTTGGAACGCACACGGCCTAAGGAATAATACAAGACAACAAGAGTGGAGGATGACAACAAGACAACGACAATTCAACGGTCCGCAAGTGGAACAGATTTCACTTGTGAATCTACAGCTCTTAACAGATTTCAATACATAAGGTAGATGGCGTGGATTTATTCAATCCATAAAGCTGACATGTGCTTAATGTTTCATAAGACTTTTATCATAGAATTTTATTTATTTATTTGTTTATTTTATGAATAGTATCATCTTTTAATATTTATCGAAGTATTGCATAACCAAAAGGAAATTACTTCTATTATTTATCTTTTGTATATGGTAACTCATGAGCATACATGAAACATTTACAGCTTCCTTCCTTTCGCGACCTCTTCTGGCTGGGAGCTGCCGATCTCGGTGGTTCCTCAGCCAAGCTATAATTCAACTTGAGACTAAGCACCCCTGACAGCTGCTGAGTATGGAGGAAGGCTCAGATGGCAATACTCGTAAGTTTTCTAAGAGGATCCGAGCTTCTGAAGCAGGTGAGTCAGAGCAAGACCTTGACGCCATCCCAGTTTCAGATCGGGCCCCAACTCCTGAGCTGTGGCCAACGCAGCGAGTTCTCGTGGGTAACGACAGTTTCAAAGATAAGCTGATGCAAAAAGTTAACCAGGTAAAAAATGCGGGTATTGACGTTGAGGCTCTTGATGACAATTATGCCGATCTAAATGATGAAGACGATGTGGTGGTATCTCGTGGTGAGCGCGGACCCAGTATCCATTTCTCTGAGAGAGCGATGGGGCGCCTCTGTCAGCCGTGGAAGAACGCCCTAATTGTAAAACTGCTGGGACGGTCGCACACTTATAACTACCTCCATGACCGCCTACAACAAAAATGGAATTTGAAAGGTGATTGGAAACTAGTGGATCTAGTAAATGACTATTTCGTAGTGAAATTTGAATTAGAGGAGGACTTGAATTACGTTCTGACTGGGGGACCATGGATTATCGCTGGGCAGTATTTGATTTTACAGAAATGGAGACCAGGATTTTGCCCATTGACTGCCCATGTCACTAGAATGGCGGCTTGGATCAGGGTCTCGGCTATCCAACTTGAGTGCTTTGATGTTTGGGCGCTCAAGAGGATAGGTAACCTGCTTGGCAAATTGCTCAAGATTGATACTTTAACTACGACTCAAAATAGAGGTAAATTTGCTCGACTTTGTGTGGAGCTGGACCTCACGAAACCGCTCGAGGCGTTCATCCAAATTAACCAAGAGTGGTACAACATAGAGTATGAAGGTCTCCCCGATATATGCTATCTGTGTGGCTTTATGGTCATAAAAGGGAACAATGCCCTTCGCGGGAGAAGAGTGCTACAGACAACGCCAAGACTGACTCTGTTACAGCTACTAAAGAAGTGGGTGCCGATGCAGTTATGGGTCAGGAGGGGACTAGTACAGATTCAGAAAATCTTCCTGGTCCTTGGATGAATGTCCCACCTAGGAGGAAACCAAAGAATAATTCCAAGGGCGTGAGCAATACAGGTTCGAGCCACAAGAGCCAAGGCTCTCGGTTTACTACTCTGCAACAAATCAGTGAGGATTTCAGTTTGGACCAGACTGACATTGGTGGGGGGGCATATCAGGGGAATGCAGAGTCATCTTATGCTTCTAAAAATGGTACTGGAATTGGAAACAAAGTCTGGACTAAGGCTAAGCACCCTATTGCTGGAGCCAGGACTGTTCTTAGTGACATCTCTAATAGTAAAAATAATGCTAAGGCCACGGCCTCGAGATCTACTAGCGCTACAGCATCTGTGGTTTCCTCTGGATTCCATAAACATAGTAGTAGTGCTAAGGGGAAATTGGTTGTTGATGAGAGCAGTGCCCATTGTTTGACTTCTACAACTGGCCACATGAACTCCTGGGGTAACGGCCAAAGCCTATATAAGCAAAATGGTGTCTATATCTTTGGACACCAACCTCCAAATATAACTGGAGACCATCATGGCAAACCTTGTGACTCTGAGGGTGTTGATGACCCTGCGGAAGCTCCTCCCCATGTTGGATTGAATCCTAATGATGGGACTATTATGGATGAAGGTCAGATGACTGATTGCATTTTGAATGCTGATAAGAGTGCCTCCAACAACGTTGAAGGCATGACACTTGACTGCTGATATTAGGGCTTTGGCCCTGGGTTCTATTCCTTTTTCCTTGTTGTTAATGGATATTCTTTGCTGGAATGCTAGAGGTGCACTAAATTCAGATATACTATGCTGGAACTAATCCAGGTTCATCATGTTGATATTTTGTTTGTTTGTGAACCTCGTATTGGAGGTAAAAAAGCCCTTGAGGTCATTAAATCTTTGAAGTACTCTTGCGTTGAGGTGGTGGATCCCATTGGTTTTTCTGGTGGTCTATGGCTATTATGGAATGAGAATAAAGTCAAAGTTGAAGTCCTTGGTACTACTGACCAAACTATCTCTGCTTCTATTGCCTGGCCTGGCCAAAATCCTTGGTTATTTACTGCAATCTATGCCAAGCCTTGTAATTCCAAGAGAGACAAGCTTTGGGATTACTTGAATTTTGTCTCTGATTGTCACCAGATGCCGTGGATGCTTGCTGGAGATTTCAATGATATGCTTAATTATGATGATAAAATTAGGGGGTGTCTCCCCCTGCAGGCTTAAAGGCTTCAGGAAATGGTTCGATGATAATGACATGATTGATCTTGGCTTCTCTGGACCCAAATTTACCTGGAGTAACAATCGGGTCTTTGAAAGAATTGACCGTGCAATCTGTAATGTCCAGTGGAGAAGCCTCTTTAACGAGGCCTCTGTCAAGCACTTGCCAAGGACCAAATCTGACCACTGCCCTATCAAGATAAGCCTGAAGTCCAGCTTCTCTTCTTCTTCTATCTCACGGCCTTTCCGGTTTGAGGCCATGTGGCTATCCCATGCCCATTTTAAGGACTTTCTCATGCAGCAATGGGCTCTTACTAATGGCTCTGTCCTAGATAAAACTAAAGCCTTGGTGCAGCCTCTTTTACATTGGAATTCTACTATTTTTGGAAACTTAAGGCAAAGGAAATCTACGCTGTTAGCCCGCCTGGCTGGTTTACAGAAAGCTATGGGTCCAAACACGATCCGATTCTTGTCCAAGCTTGAGAACTCCCTTATTGAAGAATATAATGAAGTCATTGAGCAAGAGGCCTTGTTTTGGCAACAAAAATCACGAGTTAAGTGGCTGCAAGACGGTGATAGGAATACTAAATTTTTCCACCTCACTACCTTAATAAGAAGAAGAAGAAATAAAATTGAGAGACTGAAGGATGATAATGGGGAGTGGATTGAAGGTGCTGGGGGTCTCAAGAAGCTAGCTGTTAGCTATTTTGTGGGCCTGTTTACCCAGGACCAGCAGTGCTGCACCTTTGAGGACCTCCCTAATTTCTTCCCTCCTATTGGGGCTGTTGATTTGGCTAACCTTGCCAAAAACGTGGATCTTATTGAAGTAAAAGAGAGTTTATTTAACATTGGTGGCCTCAAAGCCCCTGGTGTTGATGGGTTCCCAGCTTGTTTCTTCCAAAATCAGTGGCAGCTTTGTGGGAATGAAATTTACAATTTGGTTGACCAAGCTTTCCGGGATAGCATTCTTCCTGAAGGTTTAAACTCTACCTTGATCACTATGGTTCCTAAAGTTGATAATCCTTCCTCCATGGGCAATTCAGGCCCATTAGCCTTTGCTGTACTTTATATAAAACCATCTCTAAGGTGTTGGTGGCTAGACTAAGACCTATCTTGCCTGGTTTGATCAGCCCCAATCAAGTCAGTTTTGTGCCTGGGAGACACATTACTGATAACATTATTATTGCTCAAGAGTTAATGCACAAGTTCAGAACTGCTAAAGGGAAAAAAGGATTTATTGCTTGGAAGATCGATCTCTCTAAAGCTTATGACAGACTAAATTGGAGTTATATTGAGTTTGTCCTCAATGAGCTTGGCCTGCCTCCTTCGACTGTTCAACTAATAATGCATTGTGTTTCCTCTGTCCAGTACCAAGTGTGCGTTAATGGTGAATTGACTGACCCCTTTATTCCACAAAACGGCATTCGCCAAGGAGACCCTCTCTCTCCCTATTTATTTGTCCTTTGCATAGAAAAATTATCCCACCTGATTTTTGATGGGGTTAGGCATAAGAAGTGGAAGCCAGTTAAGTCCTGTCAGTCAGGCCCTGTTATCTCTCACTTATTTTTTGCAGATGATTTAATTCTCTTTGCTGAGGCTAGCCCCCAACAAGCTAGGGTGATGAAGAAGTGTTTAGAGCTTTTTTGTAATGCCTCTGGCCAGACTGTGAACTTTGATAAATCTGCTATTTTTTGCTCTCCTAATACTTGCAAGGATATGGCTAAAGAAATCAGCTTCATATGTGGGTCCCCTCTCACTGTGAACCTAGGCAAGTACCTGGGGATGCCTATCCTTCATTCAAGGGTCACTAAGGCTACCTACGGGGGATTGGTGGACAAAGTTCATGCTAGGCTGGCTTCTTGGAAGAGTAATGTGTTATCTATGGCTGGGAGATCTACTCTTATTCAAGCTGTTTCTTCTGCTATTCCTATTTATGCCATGCAGACCACGAAGATTCCTATAAGCGTTTGTGAAGATCTAGACCGGTTAAACAGGAACTTCCTCTGGGGTGGCAGTGAGAGAAAACAGAAGATCCACCTCTGCCAATGGGACTTAGTGTGTCGGCCAAAAAGTAAAGGCGGGTTGGGAATTAAGAAAACCCGTAATATGAACCAAGCTCTCTTAGCCAAATTAGGTTGGAGAGTGCTTAAGAAAGATGAAGGCATGTGGGCAAAGATTTTAGAAGCCAAGTATCTAAAAGACCATTCCATTCTTGATGCTGAATCAAATCCCAGGCAGAACTGCTCTTCAACTTGGAAAGGTATCATGTTTGGGGCCAAACTGCTGACTCATGGGCTGTCTTGGAGGCTTGGGAAAGGTGATAAGGTTCATTTTTGGAAGGACAAGTGGGCTGGTGATATTCCCCTTGTGCCGCAGAGTGAAACTATGGACGAAGCTGACTTTGATAGCACTGTTTCTCAATTCTTCAAACATGACTGGTGGGATGTGGACAAGCTTCGTAGTGTTCTTCCTGAGGATGCAGTTCAACGAATCATTTCTATATCGGCTGACTTTGGGGGCAGGCTTGAGGACACCCAAATTTGGCAGCCTACTACTACTGGTATGTTCACTGTAAAATCAGCTTATAATTTATTATTTACTGGAACTGATTGGTCTGACCCTTGGTGGAAAATCCTCTGGAAGATGCGTGTTCCCCCTAAATTGCAATTTTTTTGCTGGCTGGTCTACCAAAGGAAAATGAACAAAGGGCTAGACGTCATCTCACCACTGACCCTACGTGCCAGAGTTGTGGCTGGCCGGTTGAATCTGCTCTGCACATCTTAAGGGGTTGTATCAAGGCAAGGGAGG